TATGTTACTCATTGCATATATTGGGTTAACCAGAAAACACTTGAATTTGGAGAAGATTCAGAAGAAAGAGAGATAATTTAAAGATGCTGGAAATTTATTTTTATCATTTTGGGGGGGCAGGGTACCAGGAATTGAACTCAGGAACAGTCAACCACTGAGCTACATTTCCAGCCTTATTTTGTATTTTATTTAGAGACAGGGTCTCACTGAGTTGTTAGCCCCTCACTTTTATGCTAAGGTTGGCTTTGTACTCTTGATTTTCCTGCCTCAGCCTCCAGAGCCGCTGGGGTTATAGGGTGTGCTACTGCACCCGGCCAAGAAATTTATTATTAAAAGCGCAGAACTGAAGTCCTTAATGAAGTCTGAAATGATGTGGTACAGAGATATGAAGAGATTCAACTTTGATAACTATAATGAAGTTTCATTTTTGGAAAAAAGYCAAGTAACAAAAACCTATACAACCACGAGCTTCTTGTTTGATGGGCCAAAGTTCATGCCTCTGTTTTTCCCAGGTTGAGCAAATATCAACAAAAACCTTGAGCTTTTTTTCTCTCAATCCATCCAGATTGTGCAGATTTCATTTGAAAGTGATTTGATACTATGAGCTAAGAKGCTGTCCAATACTTTGTGGCATGTGTGGAATGATGAACACTGCAAAAAGGCTAATACTTCACAGGACGGGGAGTATACTCTTGGCTGAGTAGACCTGGGATTCTTCAATGGAGTGCACAGTACCAATTCTGGCCATCATAAGAAGGAAGACAGCAATTGCCACAATGCCCCAATACCCATAGTCATGTCCAAAGTCCAGAACTCTGTTACACGTGCTGTAATTGCACATGGTTTCATTAATGAAGATTTCTTTCTTTACTACATTTTAMTTAGAARCAGGGTCTTGCTGAGTTGCTTGCTGAGGCTGGCTTTGAACTCGTGATCCTCCTGCTTCAGTCTCGCAAGCCTCTGGGATTACAAGCATGTGTCACTGTGCCTAGTTTGTAAATGGAGATTTCACTTAAAGAACAGAGTTAGTTTTCTGAACTTAAGGGTCATCTCMGTAGTGGGTACAGCAAATCATGGACACTTTTTGCCTTCTGACASTGTGGCTGAATAGTGCATGATTTCTCTATCCTTCTCTATTTGTTATTTTWAAAATCCCACCATGGGTACATTGGGTCACCCTGACACCCCAAGGTAAGTCTTAGTTTTTTTGTTTATATTCTTTTCTATGAGTTCCTTCGGGGCATAAAGCCTTCTTACTGGACCCTATACTTACACCACATTCCCATGCAAAGTGTCTGGTAAGGAGCAGGYTCTTGAATATTTGTGAAATGAGTTAATAGAGGATACATAAATGAAAGATTGACTTTT